AACCATTGACTTAATTTTTATGTTCATCGACTTGACATACTATTATATATGACAAAAATTTTATTAGATTATTAGATAGATGATATATTAATTTTACATATTATAAATCAATTTTAAATAAAAATTAAGAAAATCAAATCATTTTTTTTTCTATCTTAATCTTGTTAAGTAAGGATAGATACGTCATTTCAACCCTTAAAATAAGGTACTTTTCAAAGTGTAACAAATTTGGTATAGATTTCAAACTTTCAATAAGATTTAGGGTATACAAGCCAATTTTCTCATTATAAATTTTCTAATATTAGATGTGTTGTTGATCATACTCTGACTTCGTTAAATTTACTTCAATGGTTAATAATATGCAAAAAATATATTCCAAATCAACTTCGCATAAATTCCACAAAATACCCAAATTTACAACACATGTAGCTGAAAAGTCACGGAAATTACTAACCTCTTGATACATAATGGAAAAAATAGAGAAACAAGTCAAAAATGAGAACAAGACCCAAAAAAAAACGAATTATTATGATTTATTGAAATGAAGATGAATAATATGGGAACTACAAATATTACGACAATTCAATGGACCGTTAAACTTCATCCACTGGTCTGTTATATCCTCAGCGATTTTAACGGCGTCAAAGGCCGTTCCCAAGAGCCCTCTTCTCGTGAAACCCACCGTGTATAGTCCATTCTTTCCTTTCCAACCGTTAGGAAACGGCGTTTTCGGCATTCCATCTTTCGTGAAAAAACTACTATCCTGCAAATTTCAAAGGATCAGATTATTTAAAATTTCTAAAAATATACAAAAGACCATGGAAAGGAGACAAAGAAAACAAGAATTAAATATTTGCCACATATATCTATATTGTAATTTTTGGGGATTTTAAATAGTGAAAAAGGTTTTTATTCCATTTTGCATGGAGAAAAGAATAGTTTTGGAGTGTTGTTCCATTTGTTGCATGTGCTATGTCCGTATCATAGAAAGCGATGGATGATTCGCTAAATGATAACACTAAAAACTAATAGTACTATTATTTATAGCCTATGTACCTTATATGCGTGTTTGTGTGTGTATATATATATGCATATCCTTATCATTTTACCATCACCATCACCGTTATTCTTGAAAACGAAATTTTCAATTGCATTCATATGTTTTTGACTACTTGATTCACATAATTCCATCATCATTACACAATACACACATATATATATATAGACGAGCTTTGGAGTACCTTAAGCCAACCGGGCACATTACTCTTATACCCGGTCGCTAATATTATGGAGTCGAATTCCATTTCTTTCCCATCTACAAACTTTGCACCGTTCCTTGTTATTTCCTTCACCGCTTGCGTCACCTAGTAGTTAATAACCACAAGACAAATCAATTGTGTTAAAAAAAAATGATGTGAAAAAGTCAGCTATATTCATGAACAAAATACAAACGCACGTATGTAACTTTTTTACAATTTAAGAAGTATTTTTTCTTCTAAACTTTTAATATACCAGGATACTATTTTTGATTCATGTCTTTTCTCAAAAATAAATTGCTCTAAGAGAAATCAATTCTAGAAGGTTAATGTTACTTAATATTATGTAATTAATGAACTCACTTTAATTTGTCCCGATTGGATCAAAGATATGGCGCCAACATCAAGAACCGGAGTTTTGCCGGTGACATTCTTGAGCTCAATTGGTCCGGTTTTAGGTCGCCGTAGGCCTAACCGGTCGGTATTGCCCAACGAATAATTAGCAAGAAGTACGAGAAATTTATCAACCAGCTTTAGAGGAAACCATTTCAGTAGTGTCATTGCTATTCCAAAAGTCGATAGACCAAAAAAATCTCTTGGTAATACATGTACCTGCGTCATGTCATTATAATAATTAATTATACCCGCTTAAGTCAACATAACCTTTTTAAAAAATTAATGCTTATTAACATAGTTTGATAATGAGCATACAATAAAATTTGTGCTTACAGAATTTCTAACGACCATATGAGGCAGAGCATTGTTTCTACAAAGATCCAAACACACCTCCACACCGGAATTTCCACACCCAACCACCAAAACCTTCCGGTTTGCAAACTCTGAACCGGACTTATACGCACTGGTGTGAACAACCGGTCCAATAAACTTCTTCAAACCGGATATATCCGGTAACACCGGTTCAGCGTTTTCCCCAGTAGCTACCACTAGCCACGTGGATGTATACACGCCGTCCTGCGTCTTCACCTTCCATTGACCAGAGAGGACATCGAACTCGGCTTTCTCGACGGTTTGGTTAAACACCGGTTTGATATTAAACCGGGCAGCGTAAGACTCAACGTAGGATATGAACTGTTGCTTGGAAGGGTATTTTGGGAAGTTTTTAGGGAATTTCATTAGAGGAAGCTCGCAAAAGTGTTTAGGGAGATGGAGTTTGAGACGGTCGTAGGTACGTTTTTGCCACAAAGAAGCTAAACAATCGGTTCTCTCGAGGATAACCGATGGTACGCCTCGGTTTGATAAACAAGCCGCTACGGATAAACCAGACGGACCGGCACCGACGACGATCGGACCGGGAACGAAGATTTGAGTATTATGCTCTACTTCTCTACAAGTGCCCATGTTGATT